TTGAGATCATGGGATCTAAGAAATGTATTTCATCTCCAGTGAAAAAATTGATCTTGAGATCAGTTCAGAATGGGAACTCGTTTCGTAAAACAGCACAGCTTTATGGAGTTGGTTAGTCTGCTGTTGGACAAATTATGAAGAGATTTGAGCTTACTAGATCTACAAAGAATAAAAATTAATCAGAAAGGCCACGCAAAACAACGCGTTATCAGGATAAAAAGCTTGTAATACTAAGCAAAGATAATCCCCGTTTGATAGTTGTCGATTAAACGTACAAATGAGACGTTTCTATGGAATGAATTGTAGTATTTCTACTATAAAACGTCGTTTATGTCACGCTAATTTGTTTGGAAGACGCCCAGCTAAAAAACCATTACTTTCCTTGAAAAACCGTAATGCCCGAATGGAATTTGCATCAAAACATTTAAAGTGGAGTAGTCAAAAATGGTCAAAAATTCTTTTTAGTGACGAAAGCAAATTTATGCTGTTTGGATCCAATGGAATCAGGTATGTTCGACGTTCAGTAGGTACTAGGTACAATCCTAAATACCAACTGCCTACCGTAAAACATAGAGGAGGTAATGTAATGGTTTGGGGATGTTTTAGCTGAAATGGAGTTGGTCCTCTCCATAGAATTACCGAGAATATGAATCAAGAAAAGTACAAAGATATATGTAAGATTATTATGTTACCATATGCAAAGGATAAAATGCCTCGAGGATGGATTTACCAACAGTATAACGATCCCAAACATACAGCTAAATTGGTTTTAGAGTTTTTTAAAGAGAATAAAGTTAATGTTTTGAAGTGGCTATCCCAATCACCTGACTTAAATCCCATTCAACATCTATGGGAACATGTTGACCGTCAAATGAAAGGAATTAAGCCTACAAATTATGCTGATTTATTTAATAAACTCAAAGAATTATGGGATTTAATTCCCATTGACGTTTGCAAAAAAAACTTTTGGACGCTACTGTATATATATATATATATATATATATATATATATATATATATATATATATATATATATATATAGATATATATTTATACATATATATATATATATATATATATATATATATATATATATATATATATATATATATATATATATATATATATATATATATATATATATATATATATATATATATATATATATATATATATATATATATATATATATATATATATATGTATATATATATATATATATAAATATATACATATTGGCATAACAATATTCGTAAAAAAATAATGGGATAATATTGGCGTAAAATTGTTTGACAATATTGGCGCAATATTGAATATACTGGCTAAGATTTGGCAAGGCACTAAATATCGCGCTAATATTATGACAATATTGTTTGCTACAGATATAGGCGATAGGCAGGATTGCATTCCTGCGGTATATTTTAATATTATTACATTGGCAACATGCATTAAAATTTTATGCATGGTTGGAGACATAGGATACCAACCATACAGAATGATGTGCATTTAGCAGTTTCATGAGCAAAGGCATTGAATTTAAAAGCATTAATTTTATATAAACTTAAAATGACTTTTTAAAATAGCATCAGTTGTTTGTGAATTCCAGGTGTGAAAATATCTTCTATATTTATTGTCGTCATTACTATTCTAAAACCTTGCTTTAGGTGAATCTACTTGTAGCCCTAGTTCTTCTTAGAAAGATGTCTGCATTTTCTTCTTTGCTATTTTGAAAGACATTTTTTCTCATCTGATCAATGTTGTCACTTTGTAAAAGTATTATATAAGCAAATGAAGAAGTAGTTTCAAGCATCAGATCCTTTCATGAAGAATTGGAATTTAGATGAGATGGATTCTGTATTAAATTGCTCTTTTTAAAATAATTTTTCAAATTCTTTTTGATGTTTGTCCGCAAATGTAGTACCTCATAGCAGATGTATTATCAGTTGCACACTCTACCATCTGCTATTGTAAAAAGCAAGGTATGCTTTATTTTTCCAAATTCATTGAGAAACCCCGAGATTCCTTATTTAATTTTTTACGTGTTATCGTTAATTGTTATGTCTTTAATTTCACTAATAAAACTTATTCAAATGGGCCTGCAAAACATTAAAAAAGAATAGACTTGGAATTTGCCATATATCTTTCTCCTGTTTATCATCAATTTTAATATCTAAAAGGTACTATAAAACTTTAAAAAAGAGTTGCATCATTATCAGAATTGCTTTAAAATTTTTGCTTAAATTTTGGTTGTTGTGATACATTACAGCCCCATTTTGATATTAAAACCTTCTTATACTGAACACTTTTTTACAAGTTCTGAGACGTATTTATGTAAGTGCAATGTGATGTAATTCTTGTAGTTAAATTTCAGCTGTAGTTTTGGTTACATGTCGCGACGTTATAATTTTCTTGATTTAAGTCCATGATTTTTGCAAAACAGAAAAAATAGATGTCAATTTTTGAGTTTGTTTGCTGCAATATTAAAAAAGTTATTTGAAGTTAAAGTTTATTTTTAGAATTAAATTGCTCCCTTATTCTTTTTTATATAAAGAAAAAAGTACACTATCGCCAATATTTTTACACCCACTATTGAATCAAGTCAATTTTCTTACGCAGTGCTTTTGTTTGGCGCCCAAACACCTTATTAAGAATTTGTGTGAAGCCCAGCGAATCTATGGGAGCTCTATTCAAAATAAAAAGAATTTTTTTGGTTAAATTTTAAAATAGAAGATTTTATATTTTTTTTGTGGCCGTAATAATGATTATTTATCTTGCGAGTACTCCGACCAACTAGCTACGACACTGTTTTTACAAGTTTTCTTTAAGACCTGTTCGTGCCGGCAATGAGCAAGACTATGAAGTCTGATTTAAAACAAAACATTTCACTACAAGAAAAAAAAAGGTAATTTATAAAAGTTATACGAAAGGGATATGCGGGAATAACCATTTTTAAAGTTTTTCATCAATTATTTACGTATTTTAGATATTAAGACAAACAATTAAACTAATTTAATTACAAATACCATGCAAGATGAACTTGATTTTGTTTTTCTTATACCTTTGTATAAGTTAAAACAGTTTAACAATTTATTAAAAACTATTGTAAATATAAGGTAAACAAAAAATTCTTTCTAGACTCCAAAATAGTAATAATTATATGTGTTTTGTATCAATACTAAACAAATTACAGAGAAAGTCATATATAAAAAATGTTTACTTTTTTAATGCTTTGTAAAATGCAATATCAACAGCAGGCATGTATAAATACATGGAACTTTTCATCAGATAAAGGCTGATTAGGAGCACGTAAGCAAACTGCTATTGATATATTTGTCTTTAATGGTTTGGCAATAATATTTGGTAATAGTTTAATATCAACGCCAAGCTGCTGATATGAAACTATTGCGCTTTTGTAGTGCACATGAATTGAACTAAAGTATGAAATTATTTATGTCAAGATTATTTTATTCTTAGAAGAAAACACTATACAGTACTTGCTAGATCATTTCCTCGACAGCTAGCTATGGGTCATGCCAAAGGATGCTATAACATTTCTTGCAAAGCGAACAATGATCAGTTAGGTAAAAATTTTAAAAAAATTTTAAGATTAGATCGAGGCAAACTTAGAAAATTTTCAAGATCAATACAAACAATTGCAGTTTTAGGATCAGCGTTTTAGCAGTTTTTCACTTTTAGTTTTGGTATTACTCTTTGATGTTATACGCTTATTAAACTAGCTGTCTGCTCACCTCTTGCATTGACAATGTTGCAATATTTATAGCATGTGTAAGATAAACCTTTCTTTAGTTTTTGAAATACTATGTTTCACTCGTGATATAACGAGCGACTCTAAAGGTTTAAAACACTCCCTTTTTTGTTTGATTATCTAGGATGCATGAATAATAAATAATTATGTATGCAATAATAGATAATCAAACAGAAAGTGGTTTTTATGCATCCTGGATGGCTAAATAAAAATTTGCGAAAATATAATACTAATTACGTAAAAAAGTTCCTCACCTCCATAGACATTTGGTAAATTCCATCACCAATTATGTGAGTTTTCACTACAAACTTTATAAAACTAAAAGAGACACCACAAGTAGATAAAAAAAGGACAAAAAATTTACCATCGTTTCTTAAAGTTGGATAATAAGGCCCTTCAAGGACCTTTGGTGTTATCTCCAGTTATTGATTTGTAAATATGTTTAATATGTGTTTCATCTATGTGGTGCTAACATAATAGTGACAAAAAAGGTTTTTGAAATACTCTTGTCATTATTATAATTTCCACTTTTTGTGAAGTTTTAATAATATTTTATACTCACAAGTTTTAATAATAATTTATACTCTTCAATAATATAGTTTTTAAAACCACAGGACTCCCAGGTATTCACTATTTTTCTAAATAGACACAACCCTCCATTTTCCTGATAATGGGTTGTTTTTCCTTTGGATTTTATGTTAAAGTTTGATCCCCTAAGACATTATAAATTATCGCGAATACTTTCTATTAAGTAACCCATTAGTTGGAAGCTGATTCAGAGGTAAAAAAGAAATAGAAGATTTAAGAAGGTAAAGGGCCTTCTAAAAATGACATTTAAATCTTTAACATGTTTTGATATTTTTTCAATATTGATTTCATCTTTGTTTCTATATATTGCCAACTACATAAATAATGTTTAATGTTTATTTTTTATTTATATTTAATTTAAAAACAACACAATAAATTTATTAATGTCATTACTAAATAATATAATAAATAATATCAACAATCAAAAAACAATCAAAAAATAATTTTAATAAAAGTATATCAAATATATGTCATCTTTTTTATATATATTATTTAGTTTTTTAATTTGTTGTTTTGTTAAATAAAACACTAGTTTACTGAAACAAAAGTTTTGTTGTCATTTTTTGTATTCTAAAAATTTGTTTAAAAAAACAAATCTTATATACAAACTTTTTTCTTTTAAAGTCTATATTTATTATTATTTTAGTCTTATCAAACAACCGGCACTGTAATTCAACAACCTGTGGCGATCGATGTAAGACATGTCCCAAGTAATTATAGTGTAGCTGCGTGGTTGTCTTGTTTATGTTGCTGTTGGCCTCTCGGACTTGTGTCAATTATTAAATCTAATGAGGTTTTTATATTTGTATTAGTTAAATCGTGTTTACGTTTTAAATAAATTATTCCTAAAACTCTGTGTAAGAATGAGTTTGACTATGTTTTATAAATTGAATTAATCTTTAGGTCAACACAGCTATTTCGTTAGGTGACCTTACAAGAGCACAACTTGCTTCTCAATCTGCTCGAAACTTTGCCATTGCATCTTTGATTAGTGGAATTGTAATCATAATTACAGTCATAATTTTAACAGTTGGGGTTTAAAGCTTATCTCTCTTTTTTTGTTTTGTAATTTTTAATTTGCTAAAAAATAAGTTTAATGCGGTACAAAGTTGTCTCTTTAACTTACGAAATTAATGCCAAAAATACAGGTATGAGTACTGCCATAGTTACATTTTTAACTCACAGAGTTATTTAAATATAAGTTTGATCACTCGTTTGTTTTTGTAGCAGCAATTTTAAATAACATCAAAACGCGTTTAATACTATAAAAAATTTTGTAAAAATAATAAGGGAAGGTTGCATAAGATGAGCAGATTCCAAAGATAAAATAACCTCTTTTACGGGTAAGCCTTTGATATTTATGCGATCTTTTTTGGTTAAATATAGTCATACAAGTTCGACAGTGTTTTTTATTTTAATAACTTGGTTGTACAGTTAATATTTTTTCATTGTTATGTTGTTGCAAAAAATTACCATCCCCCTTATAATTTTTGATAATTCAATATTTTGTAATTACGTCAGAACGAACAAGATTTATTATAAAAAATTTATTACATCCTCAAAGTTTTTTGATCATCTACTGCTAATTCCATAAGCTATATGAGATAATAAATATACTGTTGCAATGCTATTTAAATTATGATAGGACTCAGTAAAATTGCTTAGTATGAAATGTTTTTTGATAGATTTGTATATATGTATATATATATATATATATATATATATATATATATATATATATATATATATATATATATATATATATATATATATATATATATATATATATGTATATATATATATATATATATATAAATATATATATATATATATATATATATATATATATATATATATATATATATATATATATACATATATATATATATATATATATATATATATATATATATATATATATATATATATATATATATATATATATATATATATATATATATATATATATATATATATATATATATGTATATATATATATATATATATATATATATATATATATATATATATATATATATATATATATATATATATATATATATATATATATATATATATATATATATATATATATATATATATATATATATGCGCGGTCCGCAATTTTCTGAAAATAAGTCTTAAAAGAAACAATTAAATCACAGATTAATAAAAATATATTGAATTAAAAAAGTAAAAGCTATGTGTAAAGTATAAAAATAACTATTCTTTAAACATTGTGCTCAATTCAGAGGTAAAAAATGAATAAAATGAACTACAGCATTTGGTAAAAATTTGATAATGCTGTGTAACTTGTTTAATTCCCGGAATGGCAAGATCACTAAAGTTAGATGTTTCAAACATGCCATGTTCATATATAATTGTCAATGTGAAGTGAAACATGACTCAAGACTTTGGACTACATCATCCGTCACCACATTGTAAGTGTGAATTCTGTAGTGTATTAAAGCTTTAGATTCGTCATGTCAGTTAACTGTATGTTCATCTAACATCATTGGTGTCTCCTGGTTTCGTTTAACTGGTTGTTCTATCTTCACCTCTAACATGGTTTCAGTTCTCTGGATGTTGCTTGCTGTTGCCATCCGTACAATTAGAAGAGCGTTATTATGATTATCTTCAAAAAGTCTTGAATGACATTTTAGTTCAATTGTGGCCTTCTTTACCATCTTGAATGCAACCAACACATTTAATTCAGGAGTTTGCATGTATACTGAAAGTGGTCCAACTTTTTCAAAAATTTTTTATAGGTAAGCCAAGGCAGTCAAAATGGTGTCACTTTTCAGGAATGGCATGAGCAATGTCTTAGCTTTATCACGTGTCTTTGCATCAAAATTTTATCATTCGCTTATACACGACAGACATAAAATTAAATTGACAAACACTGTTGAAGATAACTCAGCAAATGTTCCAAACAACGTCAATGCAGTATATGATTTACTCAACCACCTTGTTTTGTCAATCTTTTTTTTCAATTTTAATAATCAAATTTCAATCTTTTCATCATCCTGTTCCAATTTGTGTTACAACAAGTTTAATCCATGTTGCTAATTGTTTATATGATACTTTTATGAATGCTGAAACATTTTGCAAAAGGTTAAAAAATGAAACTTTCTAAATGAAGCATCTGGTTACCTCCTTCATATTAAAGTTGAGAACATGAGCATAACACTAAATTTGTACATAGTGGTTGGCACCTTCTGTAATCTTTTGTTGCAATCCGTTGTACTGGCCACTGTAACTGGAAGTATTAGTAGTGCTGTCCGATAGGTATCATTGCAAATTAAAGCCAAGACGCTGTACCGTCAAATTTAAGAGATCGAACAAGCCATGGCCAAATGCTGAATTGGTCAATTGTAGATATATCTTGTGTAGAATTAATTTGTATGAAATACACTTTTGCTACAGACACTTCCACTGCAATATGTTCCTGATTCTAATTTTTCATAACATTGAGAAACTTTGATATAATAGTCTTAATTAGAAACGTAAGCAGAGCACCGCGACCTTTACTCCCGGCTTTACCTTGACGCTTCAGATTTTCTAATCTTTAGATTGATTTCTCTTGACACATGGAGAGATGAGAAGCTAAAAGTGGGTTATATTTTGGCCAAGAGCTGTGCCAAAGGAAAAAAATCCATGATTTTCTTTATCATTGTCCAATGAATAAGCACCTTCACTACTATGATTTCGAAATGACAATGTTTGCTTACATGAATGTTTAATGATATCAATAACTCGAAAAAGTATTTGTTTCCGAATCATTATGTTTCTTTATTGCTGTGCTACAAAATCTGTCAAAGTCTTGAATATTCATCATACGAAAGTAATCAAAAACATGCCTGCGGTGAATGCTGCTTGATTCGCGTTCTGCAACTCGTTAACTAACTTCTCTAAAATATTTGAAGCCAGACACAAATAATGAAACGGTGTTAGACTGGTGATTCAAATGCAACACAATATAAGCAATATAGAGACTGAAAATTTAGGCTAAGTGACAACCAATTTCTTTTTCTTTCCTTTCAATTCAACTCAATGCCTTTCCACATAGTGCTGGTATTTTTGCTGATGTACTCTGCGAGTTCGACTCAATATCTCCATCAAATTGTACTGCTATTATTGCTGATATACTCTGTGAATTCGACTCAATATCTCCACGACCTCGTACTTGTATTATTGCTGATGTACTCTTCAAATTCTACTCAATATTTCCAGTACTTTTTCGTGGTATAATTACTAATGTACTATGTAAATTTGATCCAATATCTCCACTAGCTCGTACTTGTATTTTTGCTGATGTATTCTTTAAATTTAACTTAAGATCGTTACCCCGTTGTGATTTTATTATTTCTGATGGAATTTGTTAATTTGAGTCAATATTGATTTGTCATTGTGGTTGTTCTTACAAAATTAATGTAATTAATTTGCACTTTTTTGCAATACTTCTTTCTCTGCATCAGACAGATTTCAGCCTAAAATGTAAGTTTTAATCTATAATTTTATTCTATCACTTTCTATCTTAACAACTAGTACCTAACTTTTAAAAGAATAAAATTATCACCTAAAAAATAAACTGTGTTCTTTAGTCAGAGTTTATTGGATGGTAAAACGTGCAATTTTGAATACATATTACAAAAGGAAATATAATATTTTAAAATTTGTAGGCTGGAGTTAAGACTTAAAATTATTTTGTTAGCTTTAAAACATCTAAGTATGTGATTTTTACTGAAGTTTTCTTCTAAAGTAACAAGAAACAATTGCAATTTTACAATTTACAAGTATTGCATTATATTATATAATTTTATTTGTTATTTTGTTTTAATTATGCATTATAATATTTGAAATTTTGAAATTTTGGAATTATTGCTTTATATTAAAACTCAAATAAAGACAGGCCACTAATGACATATTATTGTTAAAGAAAGGGGGGCAATGACTTCTTAACCACGGTTCTAATTCCGAAATATTTTAGAATCTTAACTTCAGCTATAAGTTCCAGGACTTTTTAAGTCAGGACTTTGCTTACTGCTGGAATTATTTAAACTATCACATTGAAACAATAAAAGTTCATCATTGATAAACTTTCCATTGTATTTCTTGAAAGAAATAGAAGGAAAAAGGCAGCAACTTCTAATTTATCCTTTTTTTTTTGACTTCAATTTAATAGGTGGAGAACATTGTGATTATTAATGAAAAAATCACTGTTTTTTAGAAATAGTTTGAATTAGACACTTTATAACAGTTCTTACTCTTTTGATCAATAATCATGTTTAAAATAATGAATTTTTAAACTGTATTTACATTTTCTTAACAATTTAAAGCAACAGAACAAAATACTTAACAACTTTAAATATAGACTGAATAAAAATCTAAAATTCTATATAAGCATAAAAGATGTATACTAATTTTTTTCTTTTAACACAAGCAGAAGTAGTTGTATTAAAAAATACCTTTTTATGTTTTTTATCTCATTCTTAGATATAAATTGTCAAAGTATAGGATTTTGCTAAAATTTCCAGTTAAAGTTTTTATAATTAACCCTACTAGGGCAAATAAGTAAAACTTAAATCGGAAATTAGCGTAGTTATACTATGTCGACGTTCTTTAAGCTGACTAATACAAAAAGTATTATTTATGTGTTACATAAACATTTATGCTTACAAAAAGTTACAGAAAACTTGATCGTCTGAAAAATTATTTTATACTCTACCTTTCAAATCTTATCATTTCAGCAGATTAGTATTATCCATAACTATTAATAGTTATTTGGAACTAAATATTTTTGATAAGATTTAGATTAAACCAAGATAATAATTTTTATACAAATTAAAATACTAACCTCATAAGAAGACTAGCGTCACTTTAGTTACTGGTTAATCAAATGTGTTTTTGTTTTAGGTTATTATTTTTTTTAATATGAGGTAAATATTCAATTCATTTTTCAATGAATTAACTCAAGCATCGCAATTGCAATAATAGTTACAAAGTTGATCCCCTTAAGAAAATTATTGCTTATACTTGTATCAAATAATCATTAGCAATCGCAAAACCTTAGCAATATATATATATATATATATATAT